GAGTCCTGATTTTAGCTCAGGTCGCCGACTCCCTACTATAAGGCTTTCAAAACAAACCTGTTCCCTTTCTTTCTCCCTGATACCAGGATCGACAGTTTGCCCGAGAACTGCATCAGAACTCTGGCTTGACCTTTTTTGAGATCTTCCTCAGCACAACACTGGAAGCCTGTGAATCTCGCGACACAAAGGGTCTCTACGCCAAGGCTCGTTCTGGTCTGATCAAAGATTTCACGGGCATCGATTCCGCCTACGAAGCGCCCGTCAATGCAGAACTGACTCTTGACACAAGCAGTCTCTCCGTGGACGAGTGTGTGGATCGCGTTCTCGGCCTACTGATTAACAATGTAAGTAGTGATGCCGTTTGTAAACTCCATACAGGAGACAAAATGACTCACGAGTTTGAGATGCCTCAAGAAAGTCGCCGAATTAAACCACAGGCAATTTTCAGTACAGTAGGTCCCCTATGGTATGGAATACAAGGATTCCTTGGGTATCAGGAAACGTCAGCCTTGGTCCATTTTGGACCACTTTTTGCCCTCAATATACTGATATGAACTGAATTCTTTTCTAGTAAAGAGCATTTTACGCCTCAAGTCAATTAACTGAAAATAATAAGCTCAACTGTGTGTTAAATCATCGCCCCTTCATATTTCATGATTTAGGCAAGCTACTGTATTTAGACGTAAGCAAACATTCGGATGCACGACCTGCACAAGGACTAGTCTGGATAGAGTGCGATTAAAGTTACAATTATTGGAAAAGTTTCGACATTTATGCAGGCTATTTCAAATTGTGTGTGGTCTGATTTTGTCTTTCGTCAACTCGTTGACATCTGTCACGAAATAAACACAGTTTCTCACACCTTAGGAGGTGGCTTACTTCACAAAAAATTGCATTCGGTGCACTGCGCCACCTTTTAAAGTAGGCAGTTTCCATAGGATAGATTTTTTTGATCTCCATTGCCTGAACTTCATTCTCTTCACTACTTGCAGGCCGTCGCTGGTTCACCAACATAACCTGCCCCACATTCAGAGCACCCTGGTCCAAAC